TTAACCTATAGATGATAAGTTGATCGATGATTAAAACGGTCTCGTGGGATCACAGAACCGTTTATGAAACGAAAATGTCTCAAGTGAACTAGCTTCTGCTCATTTACGTGTGCTTTCCGTCGAATGCGATTGTTTATCTCCAACGAATAAATGACCACCTTCCACATACCAAATCCTTTTTCCTTAATGATTTGAGTCTGCCTGTTTTTATTCTTGTCGTATCTGATTGTTTCTAGCTTGATGTGTGCCGTTTATTCCAACTTCATAATACTTCACTAAATTTCGTTCAATCCAATAATCAAACTGTGGTTTGGAATCGCACTGTTTTCAACGATGCTAGGTTACAAAGTGTTACTGCACCTCAGACTTCTCGTATCATTCAGATTCAAATTTTCTTCGAATCGAATTCAAATAATTCGTTCTCTAGAGGAATATCTGGGAATTATTCAGTTCGTTGTCAGAATAACTGTTCATTCAGCATAAACGGTCAAAACGTTCCAGAGTTATCGCGTTTGATGAATAAATATACTTGATATATTTTGATGCATTAATTTTCCGCTTATAGGATTCAGTGATGACTAGTGATAGCACTAGTGTAAGTAAAGTACGAGTTGGATGAGCAAGAGTGAAGCTAGAAATAACAAAGTTTGATTGGAAGAAATGATGATCTAACAAGTCCAAGTGATGTATAGAACAAATGCATGAAACTCCTGCACTCGAAGTGATCACCGAATGTGGATGAGTGGCAGGAGTTTTCTGAACCCATTGTATACTTTCGCTTTTCAGACAGTTCCGATTAAAACTCACTTCATATTGGAACATGATCAATCGGTACATATAAAACGTCCAAAGTTATTGATAGTGGCATCAAAGGTGTATTGTTTGCTTTATCAACTCGTGATAAGGCAAACAATGCACTTATTTTGTCTTGTTGTTGTGCATCGCATCGTCACTTATGAATGTCACTCTCCCATTTATAAATATGTGCATATCACCTCTCAATCGCACAAAATAACTGTTCACATCGACGTAACATATGATAATCTATTGCTATCCATGCTGTAAAATGAATCTTTGGATGAAATCAGTTTTTATCGTAATCATCATCGCAATCGCTCTATTCTCTCGACTTGTGGCTCTTGAAGCTCATGATGATTTTACGCCGATAAAATTAAGGTAATGTCTGTTAAGGTGCTCGTTTTTTGAATCGACATCGAGATAGTCTGAAATTTGTTTAAAATTAAATATTGTTTGCCAATATTTTTCTTGGTCCGATGTTTTCAGTGCGATATGCCTGCCAAATCATTCAGTTGACGGTGGAAAGGGAATATAATCATCTAGACCAATGTTTATGGCGCTTGAAAGCTCCATTGCCCCTTCAATGGTGTAACAGAGTGTAATTATTTCCCCTCCCCCTCCCCCCCCCGCTCTCCTCCCATCCCTCTACAAGAATTCACTATTTCTGCGCATAACGTCAAGAGAAAATCGACAACCG